TAGTTGCAAAAAGGGCAACTTGGAAGAAACTGAAATTTTTCTAAGTCATGGAAAAACCCTAGTTTGATACCAACTTGCCAAGGTCATAACATCCAATCTAGACATCCATTTTATTTGATTTAAAGATCAATTTGAAGAGATCATTCCATACTAAAACTTTTTTCAATCAGGAGGAATTCCCTAAAAGTTCATAGATTTCAAGTTATGATATCATGAAATTGAGAAAAACAAGATTTTATAATTCTATACATAGAAATTTTTCTAAGTGTTGAATCTCAACTTGGAGGATGAGTTTTCAAGGCCATTTTTCTCATGGTTCTAGGATCCAATTCAAAATTATTATAACATCAAATTTGTTAGGAATTCTTCAAGTTTCCATTGATGCCAAGAACTTCTTCATTGGATCAACATAACTCAAGTTATGAGGTTGCAAAGTTAGGGTTTCAAAGTTCTCAAAAGTCAATAACTTAGAATTTTTCTAAGTGATTTTGAACTAGTTTTTGGACATGACTCTAAGACTTGTTTTCCCTATCTTCCAAACCTCATTTGTACTTTCTTTGAACATGAAACTTTCTCTATCATTTCCCTACTTTTCATTGAGCCAAAAAACTCACATTTTGAATCAAAATTCACTAAGTTACAATCATCTAAAGTGAGCTACATGAATTGGTGATTATGCATGTTCAAATCGTCATTTTCATGCACAATACGAAGTTTTCATGTAACTACCATTTTCAATCTGATTTCATGTGCATGATTCATCCATTTTATGGAAACCAACTTGGTACTTAATTGGGAAAAATGTAATTTCACGGCAACCGAAGGAATTATGCTCGGCCACAATGTTTTTTCAAAGGGCCTTGAAGTGGAACAAGCCAAGGTGGATGTTATTGAAAAATTGCCGCCTCCGTTGAATGTCAAGGGTATACGGAGCTTTGTTGGTCATGCGGGATTCTATCGGAGGTTCATCAAGGACTTCACAAAAATCGCAAATCCTTTGAGCAATTTGCTCAAGAAATATAAGTTCTTTGAATTTGATGAATCTTGCATGATAGCTTTTAATTCTTTAAAATAAATTTTTGACTACCGCACCCATAATCATCACTCCTAATTGGAAAATGGATTTTGAACTCGTGTGTGACTCGAGTGATTATGCGGTAGGTGCGATATTGGGTCAACGTAGAACAAATTTTTTTCATGCCATACACTACGCGAGCAAACTTTTGAATGAAGCTCAAGTAAACTATGCAACAATTGAAAAAGAGTTGCTTGTGGTAGTGTATGTGCCACACCCTAATTTTTGACTTTAAGATTCCACCTCCTTCGTGCGTATTCTTGCTTTATTTGACTTTATATTTCATATTCATGTTCATTGCAACTAACCAATTTGCGCAGATGCAGTAATGTCCGGGTAGATGATTACACCGAAGCATCCTAGGGATGTGACTAATACATTTTGGTTTAGAGTTCACCTTTTCAAAATCCAAGCTTAATTCAAGAAGATCCTTCATATGAATAAGTCTATCAGATTCAATTCAAGTTCAGAGTGTACTAACCGTTCTCAAGACTCAATTTGCAAGAACTCGACGAGGATGGACGTTAGCGTCAAGAAAATCTACTCCATGACAATTGAAGACGTTGCTACATCAACTTAATTTGTTTAAAGTTAACTCCACGAGTTAATCTCCTCACTTCATATTCAGATCCTATTAAGGAGTCAAAGGACCTCAAATTACGATAGTGTATAAGTCTTTAGGGCTCAAGGCCTGTTATACCCCAAAGCCCATTTTGGTTATGTCAAACCCTTTGTCTAAGTTGTGATGTTTTTGCCAAGAAGACAGATTCCTGTTTTATTTAACCCCGAGGACAACTTTTCCCAAATCTTAGAAGAGGAACTCTTACTAGAAGACATTAAAATCCTAATCGCTACTTATCATTGACATAAGTACATGAAGATTTAAAATTGGTGATACGACAATACAGTTACATTAAGAGAATGTTAAGATAATTATTGTGGAGGAGGAAGAATATGCATCATTTTATTTGTATTGAATCAAGCAGATACTCTATTACTTTGGAGCTCATCCATACAAAATACTATATATGTTTGTTTCAAGACAAACAAATAATTGATACAAGTTGGGCTACGTGCCAAAAGTACACGTTCACGGCATTTTGAAGAACATATCCTGACCCAAATATCATAATCATATTACAGCAGTCAACTACTTCCAAAGCATCTATGAGGTGAAATTGACGACATAAACGGTGGCCTCGACTTCCAACGCCTTGGAGTACTTGTTCTAGAGGATGGTTTAATATCCCGGTCAGCTCTTAGTATCGCTACTACAAAAACGTTTTTTAATAGAGCTTTTTTTTGTTTTTTAATAGCGCTTTAAAGCGCTATTAATCAAGGCGCTATTATAAAACAAATTTTTTAATAGCGCTTTAAAAGCGCTATTATAGTTCTGGTTATTAATAGCGCTTTTTCAAAAGCGCTATTATATGACCTGTATTTAATAGCACTTTTACAAAAACGCTATTATAAGTCACATATTTGATAGCGCTTTCAAACAAAGCGCTATTATAATACCGGTAATTTGCTTTAATTTTGATAGCACTTTCAAACAAAGCGCTATTATAATACACATATTTAATAGCGCTTTCAAATAAAGCGCTATTATAAGACACATATTTAATAGCACTTTCAAAGAAAGCGCTATTATAATCCACATATTCGATAGCACTTTCAAACAAAGCGCTATTAAAATACCGGTAAATTGCTTTAATTTTGATACCACTTTCTAACAAAGCGCTATTATAGCACGCTCTCTTCAAAACACTATTCTAATACACTTTTTTTTTACACCAAATCATTTATAATATATATATATATATATATATATATATATATATATATATATATATATATATATATATATATATATATATATATATATATATATATATATATATATATATATATATATATATATATATATATATATATATATATATATATATATATATATATATATATATATATATATATATATATATATATATATATATATATATATATATATATATATATATATATATATATATATATATATATATATATATATATATATATATATATATATATATATATATATATATATATATATATATATATATATATATATATATATATATATATATATATATATATATATATATATATATATATATATATATATATATATATATATATATATATATATATATATATATATATATATATATATATATATATATATATATATATATATATATATATATATATATATATATATATATATATATATATATATATATATATATATATATGGCATTTGCATTTTACGACATTAGAATTTATAAAATAATTATAACTAAGTAGCTAAAATACCTGAAATTAAAATAATAATGACAAATGTGATACCATTAATTTGGCTTAAGAGTACTTCAAACCAAAATATTTTATAAACACAACTAAAGTATTTTGTCATGTAGTTATTAATTTGGCTAAGAGTACTTCAAACCAAATTCCAAAAAAAAAGTACAATCACTTAGCTAGACATATTCTCTAAACTAATGAAAAAAACAGTAAAGTGAGAATTTCTCACAGATGGTTTATCAACCAAGTCTCGAAGATATATTTGAATTATGGTAACTGATGTTCATCACACGTTGTTTTATGGAGGAACAAGCCAGAGGACAGTCTTTCACCAACAAGCAAAGGGCACTTGATTAAATTCCAACAATAATTCACGAACGGTCTCTGATATTTTTTGGTAGCTATGACGACATCGAAACAATCAAGGCTCTATATGCTGCAGAGAGAGGTGATTGTTCAATCATCTGTTACAAGATTTGATTCATAAGTGGCAAACAAAAAAATCTCACATTTGCAACCATTTAGACAACTGAACAAGTAGCGGAAATGTGATTTGAAAATATACCTTTTCAGGTTTGATTGGTTTAATTCTCAGCTGAAGCCTTCCCGCACATCCTTCGGTAACTTCCACAACCTGATAGCGCAATTATCGGTAACTATTTGCACCAATAATGAAAAGAAATGACTTCTTTAGTGAAATCAAGTTGGGATACAAAAATAACAGAACTAACAAGGTCAGTTAGACTAGTGACTATCAGAAAATAAAGAGATTTACTCAATATAGGCCATTGGTGCAACATGGCCAACTCGAATACGAGTCCGAAGCAACCTGGTGTACCCACCAGATCTATCCCTGTACAACACAACGTCTGTTCAGTGTCACAATTAACAGTCATAAATTGGTGATTGAAATTACATCAAGTTTAATACTCACGTGTACCGTTAAGCCAGTTCTGTAAACAACTTGTGGATGACATCGTCTCCTCGCACAAAACTAGCAGTACGCCTTGCAGCACATACAGATCCCTAAAAGTTTTGTGTAAACCATAGGTCAATCCAAGTAGTGGAGCTAGATAAGTTGATGAACTTTCAAAAGTATTGTTTAATCCGACAAAACACCATACCGTTGTTTGAGACTGATGTGTTCTGGAAACTTGAAATCTTCAGGAAAAGAATGTAGGTTTGCAACCTAGTTGCAGGATGACAAATACTTTTTAAATTAGTAATATTGCTTGAAATCAAAACAATATAATTTTATAGGTACGTGCATTCTTATGCATGTGTTCGTGTTTACGCATGATAGACAAAAATTTACAAAAGTGCATGATATCCCTGAGAATAAAGAAAATCCACTCACCTCTATCGGCGTAAAGTACCTAAGACGCTGCTCCTTGAGTGATGTTTTGTCCCTCTTCATTGGCTGCACATTCAAATTGAGTTACTAACGATAGCAAAAAGTGAGACAAGTATAATACATATGAGAATCGCTGCAAAATCATGAGAAAAATATTTTTGTACTATCACTGTGGATATACTTTTCTTCATGGAAAGAAAAAAAAAGAAATTGTTAAGTTATGCATCAGTGAATTTTTAGTTGAAGCCATCCAAAAGTCGTACCGCGGTTGCTATCAATAGTGGAGTCTGCAATTAGAGACTGAATTGCTGGAATAACAATGGCAAGTCCTATGCCATTTAAACCTCTTGAAATTGCCACCTATATATCATGCAACAAAGTTATATACTATACTACATATCAAAATTTCTTCATTTTTCATTATGAAGAAAAGAGAAAGAAAATATGAAAATGAGTGCCTGCAAGAAGGTGGAAGAGATTGCGACGAAGAATGTAGCAACAACCCAAAGAAAAGCACCGAGAGCAATAACATGTGCACGATTGTGGCGCGTAGCGAGGTAAGCGGCTAGAGGATAACAGAAGGACCGAACGAGGGATCGGTAGAGAGTGAGAGAGCCTAACGCAGTGGGGTCGGCGTTGAGAGCAGCGTCGATCTCTTTGTATACTGCTGGTAGTAATGATGTCTCGGCTCTCTCCATGATGCCTGCTAGATTCACGAGCACCAGTGTGAGTGTTTCTGGTTTCATCTTTACAATTTGGTTTCTATGAATGATGGATAAGTGTGATATAGAAAATGAATCTCCTATGTGTATAGAGTTGTAGACCCAAATGGTGTTTCGGGGTTGACTTGGATTGGTATGGGCATGAGTTTAAGAAAGTTTTGGAAAGAAGATGCATTAGTGATTGTTAAAGAGATTGTATGAGTGTGTGTGGTTCAAAACATTTCAAATTTCAAACAGTTTTGACTTTAGACCTTCTACAAATGAGATATTGTTAAACAGTTTTCTTTCCATGAAAAAGTGAATTGAGTAAGAAGAGGTTTAAATGGCATAGGACTTGCCATTGTTATTCCAGCAATTCAGTCTCTAATTGCAGACTCCCTGTCAAGTTATGCATAAACATCAATAAAAAAACTCATCTACCACAATTAAATGTCAGTTATCAATAAGTTTCAAAAACAGTACATCAGACCCGTGCATAGCACTGGTCAAGAATCTAGTGATAAATTACTATTACACCATTTCTGGTGCCACACAAAAACACAACAAGTGCTAGCACAATAGCACAGACACATATACCATAACCCCAATCTCTACCTTGATGATCTTGTATAAACACAAGAACTATCACTGCCATCAAAGATCCTAAATTTGCAAAGAAGTAGAACCAATTGAGAAACTTAATCATTTCTGCAGCAAAACTGAGTTGCAAGATACACACTGAATATGAAAACAAACTATTTTTATCATCAATTTCAAACATAAATATGTAATAATTTTCAGCTTCAAAAACGCGATTGAAATGGATAGTGTACTGAATCGAAATCGAAAAGTGACGAATTTAGCATAATATGACAACCGAGTTTGCAACCATTTAATATCAATTAATCACAATTGCTCTAAGTGTGAATCGAAACCAAAGTAGCATCACAAAACTATACTGTCACGTGAACATGTATGCAGGAGAATGCTACGACACTTTGATAATGCAGCAGATGCAAGCAGTCATGAACCTATAGTCCCTGTTATCGGCAACAAAGTTTCTCATGAAACTTAATCAATAATAGTGTTATTAACCTCAATATACTAGTACCCAGCTGTTGCCAAACTCATTCAACGAATCAAAATCAAAATCCAGCCAACTAATTGCACAAAACAAGCACAAAATACTCAACGCGCAAGTATAACCCAATTTGCATAATCACAAACAAAAGCAGAAATGTTAACACTAAAACAAAATGATGCTTTTACCGGTTTGTCTCATTGCTTAGGAACCGCAACAAACGTTTCTCTCGCCAAGCATTTGGGTCTCCACTGATGGCAACATTAATGTCTCAATCCTTCAACGCCCAAACCTAACCTGAAGAACAACAAACCTCCCTTCGACCCACCTTACTCCGCCTAACCTGAAGATTGATGCAGCAGTTAAACAAATTCAATTGATAAGCCATTCCCTGCATGATATAAAGTTTGTCGGGTAAAGAAAGTGGAGCTGAAAACAATCCTTCTCAGTCTTGATGAATTATGTGTACTGAGAATATCTTTTGTAGAGTATACTGACCTGACATATAGCCCATTCCGATACGTCAAATATTTTACTCTCCGAACAAACGAAAGCACGCGGGATTTCCACCTGTGAAGACAAGATCAATGTTCAGAAACTAAATGCAAATAATGAAATGAAGTCGGGAAAATTATTAGCTTACTTTTTGAGGCCTGTCAAAAACTAAAGACCCCTTATATTCGACCCGTCCATCGCCGTCCTTCGCTTGATGAAGCTTGATGAAACTGACAGCAATCCTGTTTCCAGATAAGATGAAAAATTCATGTAAAGTGGGCATGAAGTTGAGAGAAAGAAGGAATTTAATAATCAGGATGTAATGGATCAAAATCAGACCTGACACCATCTTGCTTTGGCCTTACTTCTGTTGGTGCACACCCAAACATGTGAATTCCCACACTTAGTGCACTGTATCCGTCTGGATTCTTCGGAACGATATTCAGTATTATCCTGAGGAGAAAACATGTACCATCACTATATTTCTAATAAAGATCATTCAGAAGATTCTACGGACTCTATGTGCAGAGCTCAGGTAGAATATGTCGGCCATTCACAAGAATATTGTGAAATTTACCTGATGTGAACTACTGTGGGATTTCTGGCAGACACTTTTAGCCATGGATTCTTCTTTTCTTAATTGTTCATCATAGTCTCTCTTCTTCACAGAGTCAGCAAGAACCTGGAAAAGTGTCATAATATTTATGTCTTACATATTATAAAATGCATATGCATTTAATGCCTACATATAAAATATAAAGATAGCTTCTGCAGCTTTTACATAGAACTTTACCTCGTATGCACATTGAAGCTACATAGAACTTCATAATGATTCAGACTCTTCAATATCCTTCTCATTTCATTAATCGAATTTGTTTGCTCTCTAACAACTTTATTGACCAAAAGTTCTTTCTGCTTATCAACAACTGATGCGGAATACCGGACCCACCTAACCTGAAGAAACCCATCGAAACCGTTAAACACCGGAAACATCCCTCTGTTAACATCAAAACAGAACCAGACCTAAACCCCTCTTTTAACCCTAACTTCAACATCCAAAAATATTCAACACAGAATCCACATTCCATCTCTCACCATTAACAGAACCACACACAAAACGTCGGAAAACTCCTTCAAACATCGGAACCCCTTCCAGAAACCTTCACCTCCGATCGTTAATCCATCCCTCACTTCAAACTGGCTTCAAACCCATTTCATCCGTAAATCCAACTTCAAAACACCCCCAAAACCATAACCGAAAGTGGAAGAGAGATTCAAAGTGAAACAACCGAACACCCAATCATAAACCCTAACCCCTCTTTCAGTAATCCAAATCTCCATTCCTTCCGCCGTAAACCTCAAACTTCAATCGATTTCCATCATCAAAACCAAACCATTCAGAATAATCATCATCAACAAACGTAAACCAGATTCAGAAATAGAATAAGAGGAGATGGAGAGAGTTTGAAAGAGAGAGCCAGTGAAACGAGATTGAGAGAGGGGAATCCGAGTAATGATACGAAGAAGAAGGCTCTTGGCTTCTATTGTTTTTCTTTGCTGATTTATTTTTACTTTTTATTTCTTTATTTTAATAGCGCTTTTTATAAAAGCGCTATCTTAAAACACAATGATAGAAACGATAGCGGTTTCTAAGAAAGCGCTATTGTAGTTACATATTTTAATAGCGATTTTTAAAAAGCGCTATCGTAGTGCTTTTAATAATAGCGCTTTTATAAAAGTGCTATTGTAATACAACATTTTAATAGCGCTTTTTAGAAAAGCGCTATCTTAGTGAATATTTATAATAGCGCTTTTTTACAAAGTGCTATCAAAATCATATTCTCTGTACTCTTTAATAGCGCTTTACTATAAAACGCTATTATAAATATGTTTGTTTCCTTTTTAATAGCACTTATTTTAAAAACGCTATTAAAGTAGGCGATACAAAAAAGCAATTTTGGCGTAGTGTATGGTGCGTCAGTATCCCCTGGAACCTGAAGCAAAACATAAATGGTCAACATGAGGACATCATCAGCAACATTAAATTACCCTTAGCCATTATCGAATACTCATACATTCACAAGAACGAAGAAAAACAGCCAGTAAAGAAAATCCACACAAAAATCCCAGGGAAAACGTTTACCGTAACAATATGTTTCGAGCCAATCCACATTAAACCGCATACATTCACAGAAAAGCCAGTGTCATAGATTCACACTTCACTAGTACACACCTACTTGTGAAAACATGCAAACAGTAACAGTGGGGAAGAAATTCACAGCATCACATACATTTGCAAAAAGAACACAGTATCCGAATTTCAAAATAGCATTGTCGCGATACACGCACGTTGATGCACATGAAAGATAGCAACAGAGGTTCCTTACTTCGCTGCAAGCATCTGGAAAACGCAAAATGCAAGGGTTAGCTATCACCAAAGCAGAAAACGCAAAATGCAAGGGTTAGCTATCACCAAAGCAGAAAACTGGTTTTGTCAAGTAATTGCAATCAAAATGGGAAGACTTAATTGTTGAGAAATCAAATTGAACTTAAATACGGTTTTCATCAGTGAATTGGCATACCTCAAGAACTATTCATGATCACAATATCCCAACCTCGACGAAGCCACTCCGAGAGAACCGTATGCGAACCTGACTAATACAAAGCAAAAAAAGAAGACGTTAGCAAAACTCAAGTGTCATCCATAAACTCAAAGTTGAGGAATTGAACCATCATCCAACATCTGGGTATTTATCCATAACAACTTTTTGAAAGATATTCTAAAAACGCAACCGAGCACCATTAACGGAAATTATGTGGAATTAAATACAAAAGGAGTAGGAGTTAATTTCAACCCTCAGTTCAATTCATCATCGGGCTAAACTTTGAGCAGCCGAAAGGGTGACAACCGGGGTTGTCGCCAGCTCCCTACCAAGCATCAAAAACAAAAAGAGTTTCGGGCAAAGAAACGATTAATTTCGAACAGCTTCCACTATAATTCAGAGCATCATGAATCAGCCCACACAATTCAGACCATCAAGTCATCATCACCATTGAACCTTTCTTGCCGTTGGCATACGACCGGCAGCCTCCAAGCTTAAAGATGGACCCTGAAAGAAGAAGAAGAAAATCCAGTTTGCTTGCAAAACAGCTCAAGAATTCGTCACAGGAAAACCAAAACAACAACATTTATCAGAGGCAAGCATCTCAACACAGTTCACAACAGGTATCGCACCAAGCCACGAGAGACAACTCCAACCTGCTTAAAACAATTCACAAGGAAATTAAACTATTAAAAACTCGTTGCCCCCGAAAATGCTTGACGTATTGGTAAGAGACTCAACGAACGGTAGCAGCCATTCAACACAGTTAATCCCATAACAGTTCTCAACAAATTGTGAAGGGCCAATGGCAGTCGCAAACTCACGGTTCAGACTTGGTGTCATCATCACCGTTTCTAACTTTCTCC